GCGAGCCACCCCGTAGGCCCGAAGGGCTTCGGAGGGTTATAAATCCCACACCCTGCCGCAGGCCTTGCGAGGCAGCTCTCAGTCAGGCGAGAAAATCAAGCCACTGTCGACCACTCTGCACCCAGGCTGCCGGCCCTGACGGTGGTGAAGGGGGTGGTGGTGATGATAGATTATGCCGAGCCACCCCGAGCCCGACGGGGGTCGGCATGCCTTAGTGATATCAGTTCAAGACCTTCAACATACAACCCCCCCCTCGAAGTCGAGGCCTTGGCGTTCGTGGCGTCGTTAGAGTGAATCTCTGGGGCTCAGATGTAGGGAGATCGAGGCAACCACCTGGGCCAGAATCCGTCGCGCCTTCTCATCTGTGGCAATTTCTGCTAACTTCCCTCCGCGTTCGGGCTCCTCATTTTCTCCAGCTTTTTGGAGGTTGCTCCGAGGGGAGTGAACATCATGACCAAGTCCAATACCTTAGCCAGTTGAACTTCTTCCAAGTTGATTTGCTGAAAAATGTCACACTGGCCTTCTGTGTGAAATCTAGCTTGCTGTAGGCATGCAGCGTAGCGCTTTCGTCACGTTTGTCGACACCTGCAAAAGCAGTATTCCGTAGTATTTTCCCCGCATTGTTTTTGCGGGTAGGATTTTTCCACATTTTAGTAGCATTTGATGGCGCCGTCTCGGTTTTCCACCAATCATGACCGCGGCGATCTTCGATTGCGTATTCGTCTCTGTAGGTTTTCTTTGTTAGAGGCTCAAGCACCTCAAACCCGAAATCCCTGAAAAGAATCTCCCACCACTGCTTCCAAGGGTGCATGGTTACGTGATGGTCGCCGCCCTGATTAATTGCCACGCCGATTCCTAGGTACCGACAGCTCTTAAAGGTGTTAAGGATGTTGTGCAATATCGGTTCATCTATGTGCTCAAGCACCCAGCAGCTCCAACACAGGTCGAAGACAGTTCCTGGGACGTACGGCCCTTTCCAAAAATCATGCAGCTGATTGGTCTTCATTACAGAACTAAGAACATTGGTAGGGTCGCCCTCAATGCCTGCGACGCTGGGAATATGAAGCTCTGACGCAAAAACCTTCATCGCCTCCCCCCTTCCTGAACCGACATCCAACACCGACTCGACATCGAGTTCCGCCTTGAGCAGTCGCCACATGTTGCGGTAAAGGTTTCCACCTACTACGTTTCCACCGACGGTTGGATGTACCCCGCGCATGGGGTTTGCCAACTCTTCTACCTTAGGGACCTCACGCTGCAAGAGGCCAGACACCTGGGGGCCATTACTGCTTCTCCATGACCAAGTCCAATACCTTAGCCAGTTGAACTTCTTCCAAGTTGATTTGCTGAAAAATGTCACACTGGCCTTCTGTGTGAAATCTAGCTTGCTGTAGGCATGCAGCGTAGCGCTTTCGTCACGTTTGTCGACACCTGCAAAAGCAGTATTCCGTAGTATTTTCCCCGCATTGTTTTTGCGGGTAGG